TTGACTTGTGTAGAATTTTGGACATGTTAGTGACCTAAGCTCTAAGTTAGATGAAAGGAAAAAAAGGAAGTGGTCAAAATTTGGAGTATGACAGTTGCCCATATTTAATCAGCTTCAAACAGAGAGGATGATGACTGTGAGGCTTCATCTTCTCATGGTGGGAGATGATTAAATATAGAGAGAGGAACCCTAATTTTGACCACGTAGTTAGGGAATTCTGGGGATGAGCAAAGATTAAACAATCATTGATGCTCTTTTGGTATCTAAACCCACATCTGATGGAACCCTGGTGATATCCCGTTGATTAATTTCATCCCATCTGAGTGAAACTTACGTACGGTTCTTATGATCATCCGATCATTTTACTGAAATCGGATAGACGGTCTTCAGGTCGTTGTTTGATAAAATCCTGGTAGAACCCCTAATAAAACCCTTGGCGAGATTCCTGATATAACCCCTGATACAACTTCTAATGAAACCCCTTATGAAACCCCTAATAAAACTCCTAATAAAATCCCTGATAAAATCATTGATAAAACTCCTAACAAAACCCCTGATAAAACTCCTGATGAAACCCCTGGTGAAACCCCTGATAAAACCCCTGAATTATACTCTTGATGAAACCCCTGGTGGAACCCCTTGATAAAAAAACCCTTAGATATTTCATGGAACTTATCACGTATGAAGGATAGGTTGCTAAGATGGGGAAGTGAGAACGATCATTCAGGATGACCTACTACTGGATAGATTCTCTTGAAGACTCACCGTGAGTGAGCTTGATGGGAAAATCCTTTATTTTGAAAAGACTCTTTGGAGATGTTACTTACTGGAGAAGACCAATAAACATTCATGCTTGGGGAATTGTACTGGTATAGCAGGCAATTGAGAATTCAATCGTCATCGGTATAAGAACCGATAACTCATTATTGGCAAGAAAATTAATGTAAGGCCCGAAAGAATTGAATGAAATAACAATGATATAAGAACCATAAAACAAGATGACAAAGGGTGTAAGAACCGAAGCAAAAAAAACAAATAGTGTAAAAATCGAAATGAATGTATGACGATGGTGTAAGAACCAAAGTGAGCATGACAATATTATAAGTGCGAAGACAAGCTTCTCAAGTAGTTGTTTTGATGAAGACAAATCTACAAGCAAGTGTGCATAACAAAAAGCAATGGTTCAAGACTAACAATAAGTTCAAGTCAATTGTCATATGATAAAGATCAAGTCTTGGATTGCTTATGTTGGATTGATCATGAAATTTTAAGGTATAAGCTTTCAATCTTTCTATGATATTGTCAAGTTCTCAAATCATACATTCAATCATGCCATATTTAATTAATCATTTGTGATGCATCAACATTGGCATTTATGTTATTTTTTTAAGTATTTTTGCCTTTGTCAGCATATGTAATCGGTTACTCAAAAGGTTGTAACCGATTACCACACCTGAACCATGCCTTTTGTGGCTTTTTCCCCTTGTGTAATCGGTTACCTAGATTCATGTAACCCGTTACACGAATATATTTCAAAAAAATTTAACATTCTTCAGGTGTAACCGGTTACACCATATATGGTAACCGATTACCACTGAAGGAGTGGCAGTGGTTCATGTATTTTTCAATGTAAACAAAATTTGAAGTTGGTTTTTAAATCATGGCATCCATTCATTCATTGGTACTCATTTAAAGAGGTGTTTAGGCCCTATATATACCTTAATCTTCAGATTTTCATACTCACCTCTTTCATCTACAATTCAAAATATTTTTCTCTTGCTCTTTCAAATTCTCAAGTGTTCTTAAACATAATTTTTAGGTGAAATTTCTACTTATAATTTTCATTAGAAATTAACGTAGTTTCATCAACATACATACTTGAGCACTTGTGTATCATAAAAATAATTTTTTGCTTGAAGGAGAAGATCAATCCAAGTGATTGATACATTGTATACTACTTTAAAACTCTTGTAATATTTTTTTGAATATTGTTGTAATCCTTATTGTCCAGGATTGTTGGAAAGAAGAGGGTGATTAAGGGAGGATTGTTCTCTTAATTCACTTTGTGTAAATCCAAGATGATTGTTCTTAGTGATTGTGTTAAATTCTTGTATAGGAAGACTAGGATTGTCTTGTCCATAAGATCTAATAATAGTAAAAATATCTTACTGCATAAGGATACTGAAGTACTCTCGGATTGTGAGGGAAACCAGGATATATCACTGTGTCATTTATCTTTTCGCATTTTACAGCTTTTATCACTTAGTAACTAAATCGGAAAAATGATAAGACTTGAGTTAAACCCAGAAAAATAATATAAGTACCTAATTCACCTCCCCCCCTTCTTAGGTGCAAACTCTACTTACAGTAAGAACCGAAGTGAACAGTGGTGTAAGAACCATAAGTAGGATATTATCATGGATAATCCTAGAGCAAAAATTTTTACTAAGGAGTTTTTTAAAGAAAAACAAAGTAAAAAAAAGATTTATAGAAGACCTTAATGTCTCTACTGGGGAAGACTGATATCACATAAGATGACTGTCTACTGGAGAATAGGCTTCCAAGCGAGATTTCCTAAGGAGCACGAGTGTCGGGGACAATTCTAAAAAATCCTTGAAAGGATATCGTGAAGGAATTGTATACCATTAGGTCATATCAAAGACAATGTTGCTAAGTGTTTTTTTCTTGGAGAATGAGTTCCAATGATATTTTCTGGAGAATGTCCTTAAGTCATACTTACTAGAATGTATAGCAAGGAAAGAGCTAGAATCATTAGGTTTTTGAAGAGATTTGCCTCAATATGGGTTGAACATACTATGCACTTGAGGCGGCCTGCCATTATATTAACCTTGTAGAGATTCTACCCTGACTAATCGACCATTGGAATGATATGCCCTAGATGAACCATTGAAGTAGTTTCTTTTTATAAAGCCTTGCAGCGGTCTGCTCCAGATTGATGGAGCTTCAAATGGTATGATCCTTGTTTGTAGGTCTTTCGAAGGAATTGCTTGAAAAGGAACTTGGATCCTGCCATGTTGTGATATGACCTTAATATGAACTGTCTCAGTATTTAAAATTTGAAAAGTATGTCCTTAATCATTGAGGTCTGGAGGAATTGCATGAAAATGGACTTGGGTCCCACAATGTTGCGGTATGACATTTATATGAATTGCCCCAATATTTGAATCTTTGAAAAGTATGCCGCTAATTAGATGACTTTCAGCGTGATTGGCCTCACTATGCCTTTGAGAGTTTTGAAAGAGTCTACCCTTGAATATTAAGGTCATGGAGGTGTTTTGACATAAGTGTGTCAAATCTTGAAATGTTTTGCCCCTAATCAGTAGGATCTTCAAATGATGTCCCAGTGATTATAAGAATTTGCCCTATAATTTGAAGGATCATTAGGTGACTTGCTTTTAAAAAACTACATGTCCATCCGTTGTTGATTTCGTAAATACTCCAAAGAATGTTAAATACAAGGTGCGAGGATGTTGAACTACTAGTATAAAAAATGCATGAAAACTAAAGTAAAATAGAAAAGATAAAGTGCATAAAATAGCTTAATTGATTGCATGTGTGTAATAATTTATAAATTGTTGTATTTACATATGAAACTATCATACTAACCATATAATTATGACCTACCTAAATGACCTAAATGATGTCTCATTCAGTTATTTATGAGACTAATGTGTAAGTATTCCTTCTACTTTAAGATACATGTCGATTGACTTGTTGTCTTATGTTCTTAAACATCTCACGTTGTTTGTATCCAATTTGTGTAACTATTCTAGGTCGTATTTCCACAATTTCTCTAATTAGTGACATTTTTATCACAAAACATGGCCATAAAACCCAATTTTTCAATCATATTGTGTTTTCTTTAATGTTAAAGTCGTGAAAATCACAATAGACTCTAATAGATCTAAGAAAGATCTGGTTGACTTATGTTCAATTATGTTTATATTTGTATAATTTTCTATCACCTTAATCATTCTCAACATACCCTATATTCTCTTATCTTTTGATTTCGAATGACACATTAATGATTTTTAGGTGTAAATAATAATTAACAAAATACCATAAGTAATTAATGAGATAACTACACTTAAATTACTTTATAACTAAACTAAATTACAGTTTTAGCGGCTCAATTTTACCCAGTTCACGACATTAATACCTATATTTTAAATTTAAATAGTTTTGATCTTCTCTTTTTCATACCAAATCGAGGAGATGTTTATTTTTTTCTTATATCTTTACCTATAAAGTTCTACAATAGATTTATATACTATGATTTGTCATATTTCATATTAAATTTATCATTTAAAAAATATAAACATCGATAATTTTAAATTTAAAAATATAAAAGATCAAAATTATTTAAATTTAAATTGGATATAAATTCATGAATAAAGTAAAATAATAAAACAAAATTATAATTAAAACAAATGAATGACTTTATTCTAAATTAAATATTCTAAGTGGCTAATTAAACATATTTTTAAAAAATGTGTCCTTAATATTATCCAATACTTAAAAAAGTAAACAAAAAAATGCATAGATTATCTATACAAGAAGAAATATATTGTGTCAAACTTTGTATTTATTTAAATATTATATCATCATACCGTACGTCATGCATTGATAAAACTGCATATAAACCTAATCCGTGTTGTAGATTTCAACTCTTAATTGCTTCTTAAAAGCTTCTTACTCCATCCATTTCTTAGCACATCATTCACGTTTAAGAAAAAAGCCATTAAAAAAAATGACATTTCAAGAAAAATCTTAAATTACATAAATGTAAAACCAAACCAAACTTTTCAACGCAGAATCAAACATAGCAACACTGTTTATTCACATTCCACATTACAGATACACTCACTCACACACGCAATACATTAAAGTTAATTAGTAATTAATTAATAATATTACAAAAATAAACTTTTAAAAACCAATCAACTCTCTCAAAAAATAATAATTAATTAATTAATCAATTAAGAATGAGATTGAGAGGAAGGAGAATGCAAAGGAAAAAGAGGCAAGAGTTGAGGTGGTTGTTGAGAGGATCGAGGAGAGGGGTGCAAATAGAAACCTTTTTCAGCTATCACTTTTTCTTCTTCTTCTTTTTCTTCATCTTCTTCGTATGGTGATTTTGGACTATTTCCATGTGGCATGTAATACTCTAATGGAGAAACTGGTGAAGCCATAACAACACTTCTAATGTTGCTGTTGCTGTTGTTGTTGCTGTTGTTCATCAACATCATCATCATCATGTTATTGTTGTTGTTTTGGAACATGGTGGGTGTTTCCGAAACGGTGAGTTGAAGTTTTTTGGAGCGGCGTTCGTGGAGTTTGAAGTTGGGTTTTTTGGGGCCCATTGGTTGTTCGGAGGTGGTGGGTGGTGGTGGACGGTGGGTTTGGGTTAGACGAGATGGGAGTGTGAGTGGGAGTTTTTGAGCCGATGGGTCTTGTGATGCTCCGGTTAGTTTTTGAACAACTGATCGGAAGTTGGAGGGGTCTGCTTGTACGAAGGTTGTGTTTGGTTGTGCTGTCGGGTCGGATCCGTACGTTGGTGAATGCATGTTTCTAGAGAGAGAGGAAGCGGGTAGAAAGGAATGAGGTGTGAGGTTTTATAAGTGGAAATGTAGAGAGAGAATGAGGAGAGAGAGAGAGAGAGGGAGAGATTTGTTTGAGGAATGAAGATGTGTGTTTGCTTTGCTTTATGACAATGAGGAGTGGCGTGTGTTGAAAGAGTGATATATAAGAAGAAAAAAAATGAAAAAGTGAAAGTGAAAACTTTTACTACCTTTCTCAATTTAGTAATATACCACTCATTATTATTATTATTTTTATTTTGATTAGGACATAAAAATTATTTAATCATGTAAAATGTTATATTAAGTAACCACAAAACATATCACCAAATTATAATTAGTGTTTATAGAAGATGTAGTTACCACTTAAGCACTCCTTTGGTGTTTGACTTTGGAAGATGCAAACACAACCAACACAAGACACACTATTAGTTAGTAATAAAAAAGGTAAGATGGAAACTTTGGGTAAACAAAAGAGCTTTTTGTCTTCAAGTTTTTTTCAAAAAATAATTAAAAAATGGTAACTTTTTATGTGAGTGGAACTTGATATCTTTTCTTTTATCTTTGCAAGTAAAAATTCATTATCATGATTGAGGATAAGCTTTTTAATGTGAGTCTTACTCAAGTTTAATGCAAAAGTTTTTTGATGGAGGAAATCTTGTTAATTACAATTGCAATTCTAATGGCTAGTATACCTCTTAAATCATATGTTTAGAGTTCAAATCTTGATAATGAGAGTATAGCTTTTCAGAAAGGAATTATGTCTCATTTTATAGTATTTGCATGAATATTAAATACTAAATATGAATATGTTAGAATAGATTTTACTAAGTATGGTAAAAAATGTAAGTAAATCTTACTTATGGCAATGCACATGCAAGGCAATTGTAATTTGGTTACATCTTTGGTTGAAAACATAATTGCTAATAATGAAAAAAATAGCAACTAACATGAATGGTTTTTACTATAATAGTAGTTGAATGAGTTGAATGAGGTGAATACTTGAATGTAATGAATAAAGGAAATTAGTGTAAAAGCAACTCAACGGTGGTCCAATTTGAATTTGAAAAAATTGGCAATAAATAATACAAAGCTGGCATTGAATAATCAGTCTTGCAGGGTCAGAAGGGCATTGAAAAACAACAAAACAACAGAACAGAACAGAACAGGTTTCTCTAGTACAAGAAAGAATCATCAATACTTACATAGAAAGAGAAACTTGGTCTTTTTTTTAGCTGAGGCACCGTTTGAGTTTTTGGTCATTTTGGTTTTTCGACGTTTACAATTCTATTCTATTCATTAATTTTTGTGATAAGATTTTTGTGTGTCTGGAGGTAAATATACATCAACATTAATTCTGTTATATTCGTGAAATATTCAAATTGAAAGATTATGTTCGAAAATAATGTTTGGTCAGACTTATGATTTTTCAGACCGAATTTTGATGTTATATTGTTTGTAATGATTAGTAAGTATTCTTAGTCATTGTTTTCGAATTGAGGAAAATTTGACACCTATAAGATGACAACCGAACATGTCAGTATTGTTTAGGTCCGTCTTATAAAAACCAACAAAAAAAATTAGGACGGCTCAATACAGACATGACAGAGAATGTGAGTCTAAGACCAGATGAATTTTTTGAATTATGTCAGATTCGTTTTTTTATACCAGTCTAAAAGTGTTTTTTTTTTTTAATTTTCATGCAGAGTGATTATGGCTTTCTTATATTCTCTTAATCCAATTCCAATTTTTTTTATTGTTGTGTGCAAATCTAGTGGCATGGGTGGGATGGGTAAATTTTCTCTTTCATTCATTCATATTTTTTTCCTTAGCTTGCGTGAGGAATTGCACTTTGACATTAAGGACAAAAGTTGTCTCAATTGATTCCTTAATTTTGGCTTTATTCGTTTTAGTTTTCTTTGCTTTACTCTTTCTTCTTTTCAAATTGCTTTGCTTGGATGGTTTTGATTATTCTTTTTGTGACCTCTTTTTGACAAGTTTAGTTTCTTTCTTGCTTTTATAGGAGTCTTGTTACACTTTCAACTCGTTTACTATTAGGAACAATTCTACTTTTTGAGGCTTATGGGTCCTAAGTTACCTACTTGACTTACATTAAACATATAGATAGAATTATTCATGAAATAGTTTGATATTTTAAAATTACTTTTAGAGTGTACTATAAAAGTAGTTAGAATATTCTATAATTACTTTTAAAGTATTACTAACGAGTACGTAAATAGATAAGTTAAAAACAAAAAAAGATTGGAGTTTTATTTTAGAATGAGTTGGAAATAGTAAATTTATAATAAAATAAATAAATACACAAATTTTAAAATAAAGTTATATTTTTTAGTTGTCTTACATTTTTTTATAAAGATATGTTGAGATGGAAAATGTAACTTGAGTTTTATTCTGATTCAAATCAATGTCCGATCTTTTTATAATGTTAGTTATTTGACATCATCCCATTTATCTGAATTGTCCGTTTCATTCATTAGTTTTTTAAGACCAGTGACAATATCCATTATCCATGCCCGAATAATGATGGAAGAACTTTGTGTGTATAAAATGATCACACCTTTTTTTATAAGCAGAATGATCACACCTAATATTGTACTGGATCAAGGTTGACCTGACATCCAAAGACCGTTGGATTAGATGGACGGTTAGATCTACTAATCTCCCTCACATGGGAAGGTTGTCTCGAAGAATGTTCTAGTACCTCGCAACTTTGAGATGGATTTTCCCTAGTAGTACATATTATTAGAGCAAACGGATCCCTAAATATTGTCCGCATTGAACTTCACAAGATCTTCTCACATTTTTCATATAAGATAGTTGTGGCAAGGAGAATTTTATAAGAACTCTAAACTCTAGAACCTTCTCTATAAAAGCTGGACTACAAATCGATCTTAGGTACATATTATTCTAATCTAAGTCATCACACTTACCTTCAAACAAAGACTAAAATAACCTTTGGTTTTTCCCCAAGACGTGTTAACCTCTTTTTCTTCAACCCGTTGAGCGTCGACATCTACATAACAACCTAAGGGTCCTCCTTAGGCGAGAAGATCCCTGTAGAAAACCAAGAAATAAACCATTTTCAAAGTGGTCTCTTGCTCATCATCCAAAGGTTGTCTGACATCATCGAGGAAAGATTAATATGGGTAGAGAAACGTACTTTTCTCACTATTGAAGATTGACGATCACCTCTTATGACTTACACTCCCGCATGATTCTAGAGAAATATACACACTCTAGAAAAATCTAGGTATTCATCACCACAAAGAAACTTGCCCTTAAAGACCCGCAAATACCATCAACGTCATAGTAGGCGACATGGAAGCTCAATCTCAACATCCTTTTCAAGAAGGTTTTGGGGCTAAGTGGATACTTTAAGGATGAATACTTTCACTCCTTGGATCAATAGTTATCCCATCCATAAGGATATCTAAAAACCTTTAGGGATAAGATTATACGACGGAATGGTAGACCCTGATGACCATGTTGAAATCATGGATAATGGATACCTTTCTCATATATGAATAAAATTATAAACTAACCTTAACATAAACAACAACATATTTATCAAACATACCTCAACAACAACATTTATGAACAAAATCATCATAAAGTAACCTTAACATAAACAACAAAATACTTTGACAAAACAAACACATACCTCAACAATAACTTAAACAGTTTACATGCCTCAAGAATTTAAACCTATAATCCCATCTTAACATCAATAAAAGAATAAACTCTATGTTGGACCAAGACAAATGTTTGATGTACCATTTGAATAATAAAAATAAGATAAATATGACTAATAATTTGAAAAACAACATGATATCATATCTCATAAAATGATTCATGTACCTTTACTTGAAAATATTTGTGGAAAAATAAAACAAATACATGAGCTTGCTATTTGTTTTGTGACACATTCCATTGATTCATACTAGTTTGAGAAACTATGTAGGATTTTTGTAAAGTTAGGATGAAGTTTTGAGAGATTGAGACAATGCGAGAGAAGTTAGGGTTTCACACTTACAACATAATCTATCGACAAATGAATTAAGTTAGCTTATATATGTAATATATGAACAATTATATTTGAAGAACAAATTACACTAATTAATGTTTTTTTTAAGAATTTTGCAACTCATCATTCATCTCGTATTCTTTAATTGTTTAAAATTTCTTCAATGCTTCTAGTTTTCGCTCATCATACTTGTTCATTCAACAAGTATAGAGTAAAGTTGAACAAAAACTAGAAGCATTTGAGAAACTTTAACGATTAAAAAACGTGAGATGGATGATGAGTTGCAAAATGCCCAAAAAATATTGATTAACGTAAAAAAATATTGATTAACGTAAGATGTTTTTCAAATACAACATAATTGTTCATATTATTATTTTCAAAAATAATTTAATATATTATATGTTCAAAGAGAGATTAGTGAAACAAACAATCGATATTAGATACAATAAACTCAATTAAAAATTTTGTCACTATATTACCCTCTTGACATGTTAAGAGGAACAAGATGAAAGTTGCACAAAGAATAAGAAAACATAATCTTAGCCTCAATCACAAACTCAAACTCAATAACAACAATAAAATCTTAAATTTATAGATTTCAAAGCTTTGTTAAGTATACCAATACCAACTAGGCAACAATAACAACATCAATAAATAAAAAACAACAGTAAATAACAACAACATTAACATTGTCTCAATCTAAACAAGAACTAATAAAAACAATCTCTCAACAAAAATACAACAATCTCAATAAACCTATAAGTATCTATTCCAACCAAAATAACAACATATAACATCAATCTCAGTTTAAACTATAACAACAAGATTAAACTTCTAACGGGTCTCAAAAACAACAACAAGATTAAAACCTCTAAGGTTTCAAGGCTCAACAACAACAAAAATAATAATAACATTAATGTAACATGAATAGTGATGCTAGACA